ATGAAATGGCTATTGAACAGATGTATGTGTTTAACTAAATTGGCAAACTTCCATTTCAGATGATTCAAAGGACACTGATTCCCTGTCAGATGAAGCAACCCACAATAGCAATCAGAATAACAGCAACTGCTCCTCTCCTTCTCGAATGTCTGATTCCGTTTCCCTAAACACTGACAGTAGCCAAGATATTTCTCTCTGTTCTCCTGATAAAGAAACACACGCTGCTGTTTTATCCAAGATCAGGTTTGTATCATACTGTGTACCCCAGGCAAATGTCATAGATAAGTGTAACTTACTACTCATATTGTGTTCCTTCCTTAGAATCATTATATTTTAATATTTTTAAATAAAGTTAATAATGTTCTCTTAAGGTTAATAAGGTTCCCTTTAAAAAAAAAATCCAGAGACCGATTTTAGTGTAAAATACATGGCTCCCATGTTTTTAATACTAGGGCATAGTAATTTTATCTTTACAATCTCTTAGTCCTGGAAAATACTTCAGTATCACAGAATTTAGGAGCTGGAATGGACCTTACAGATCATCCAGTCCCAACCCCCTGCCCTGGGCAGGGACACCTCCTCACTAGATCAGGTTGCTCAAGGCTCATCCAGCCTGGCCCTGAACACCACCAGGGTTGGGGCAGCCACCACGTCCCTGGGCAACCTGTGCCAGTGTCTCACCATCCTTAGAGTAAAAAATTTTTTCTCACATCCAACCTAGACTTTCCCTCCTTCAGTTTGAACCCATTACTCCTTTTCTATCATTGCAGCTCCTAACACAGAGTCCCTCTCCAGCTCCTTGTAGGTCCTTCAGATATTGAAAAGTTGCTCTGAGGTCTCCACACAGTCTTCTCTAGGCTGAGGAGCCTGAATATGCTATTTTGACAGTTTCTATTTGCTTAATTTTGAAGATCAGTTTGATTGCTAACATGTCTGTTAAAGGCTTTTCGAAGCTTACAGGCAATGGAATTACTGCAGAAGTTTGAGTTAGAAAGTGCCATTTCTTTCAAAAATTGCCAATAGAAACAAGATAATTGTCCATAATTGTCATGGAACTTACAGTAAATTGATTTTAAAAAGTCGAGTCATTGTCACTTGATAATTTTTGACATTTTTAAACTGGTTTTAATCATTTTTGTTGAATTTGTGAGATCAGATGATGCAAACATTGCCCAACTGAGGCCTCTAGATAACACATTCCTTCAGTGGCAAGATAGCAAATCATAAATCCATCTGTGCTTCATGTTAACGATATTTTTTTCTGAAACAGTTCGTAGGGAAATATGTTGTTTCCTTCAGGGATTTCTTTTAACATGATCTTTGTTTTTTCCAGGCGAGAAGATGAAAACCTGAATAACCTTTTGCAAAATGGAGGAGAATTGAACATTACAGTGGAAGAAAAACTGAATGTGCAGGAAAATGTTACAAATTTGTCTGAATATGAATTAAGCATTGAGGAAAGATTAGGCCTGATAGGAAAAGGTGTTGATCTAAGCACTCCCATGGAGGAGTCTCACAAGTTAGACCAAATAAACATGAATATCAATAAGCTGGTTAGTGAAGAGGCAGTGCCAGTCCCTGTGGAAAGGTTAGAAACACAGAAAATGGTTTCAGTAATGGGCCTGTTGAATAACAACACAAAAGAAGAGAGTAAGCACTTGGAGAATGGAAATAAATATCCTATAAATAAAGTAAATGGACATCCTGAGGAAACAGTGGCGTCCCCCAGCAAAGACAAACTAGGGAAAAGCACTACAGTTGATGGTGAGTCTGCTGAACTGTCTGTCTCAAGGAGCACTGAAGACTTGTCCCCACAGAGAAGTGGTCCTGTCATGAAGTCTCACAGCATCACCAGTATGGACAGTGGTGGCCTGAAGATCTATGACATTGTCAGTGAGAATGGATCTCAACAGCCAAGCTCGGTGATGAAATCAGCATCAGATGCTGCAGATGGAAAAAACATAGTCCGAAGCAAATCTGCTACTCTACTGTACGATCAGCCCTTGCAGGTGTTTCCTGGGTCGTCGTCATCATCTGATTTGGTGTCTTCGGCAAAAACCGTGTTCAAGTTCGACTCGAATCACAACCCTGAAGGTGCTAACGTGGTGAGGGGATCAGGAGCAGGCGGTGCTCAGGGGCTCTGCGCGCCGCAGTACAACATCCAGTACAGCAGCAGTGCTGCAGCTAAAGATGCCTTGTGGCCCCAGAAGCAAAGCACCCAGGGAGAACCAGGCACCTTACCTCCTGCGCGTCTGCTTCGCTCTGACAGCACGGAGACCCCCACCTATGTCAAGCACTCTGCCAACATGAACTTCTCCAACCACAACAACGTCCGAGCCAGCGCCGCGTACGGCACGCACCAGCGGATGGCTGGGAGACACGTGGACATGTGGGCTGTTCCACCCGGTGACAGGCTGCTCCCAGGAATGGCCAGGCACACTCTGCAGAGGCAGAGCAGTGTGTCTTCCACAGCCTCAGTAAATGTTGGGGATAGTGGGCCTGCAAGGCGGGCCCAGGTTCCTGAAGGGGATTATTTAACGTACAGAGATTTGCATTCGATGGGAAGAGCTCCACCAGTGATGTCAGGGCAGCAGAGACCTCTCTCTGCCAGGACATACAGCATCGATGGCCCCAACATGCCGCGACCGCAGAGCGCTCGGCCCTCGGTGAACGAGATCCCAGAGAGAACTATGTCAGTTAGTGACTTCAATTACTCACGGACTAGTCCTTCCAAGAGATCAA